GGAACGTATTTTAAACGCATGATAGCCAAATATATCAAGATACTATATCTGCCTAAATGAAGTTATCTAGTGTTGACAAAGTTTTGAAATATATTTTATCCAGATCCATCAGAAATTAACTTAGCCAATACATTTGTTCATAAGAATTCTTTAATTCTACCTCGTTCCCAATACGTCCTCAGACAGACAAGAAATTGAAGTCACACCCGTTTGTTTGCGTGGCATATTTATACGTATACGCACTTTCTCTGATTATTGTCAAACAAATACATTTCAGGAGAAGAACATAAAAAACAAATGCCTGAAACGAATGCCGAAACATAAATCCCAAGTGATTAAGTTTAGAACGTTTTATTCTTTTACGATTTGATAAGAGACTGAGACTAAGAAATTAAATGCGACGAAATATTTTGACAACGTAATTTGTATACTGTTTTATTCTTAAAGTTCTATGCGATACCTTATTTTATCTGTTTCAAAATGTTTCATTTTATTTTGCCTATATAAAAGAGATTGAAGAAGATAAGATAAACTGTTCCGTAATATATATTGTGTTTTAATAACCTTTTTTAGAATCACAATGTAAAATAAATCTCCCGTTCCTGCCATTCTGGTAACGCCATACAATGGATGCAATTCAAAGTGAGAGAGAGAGAGATCTATGAATATCAGAATGCGTCCATGCCATTAATTTGGCCAAATACATGGCATGAAACTGACGTAAGCTTAAGTAAGCTACGCCCCCCCCCCTTTCTCTGGTAAATTATGACTTTATTTTTCGGAGTAATGGGTTTCGGACAACTGGGTTTCGGGGAATTGGGTTTCGGACAACTGGGTTTCGGACAACTGGGGTGTCAATATATACGAATCGAATGTATTCTCGTGTGCATTACAATATCCCCATTGAAACATTTTTGGCCTGCAATGGACGTATAATGAATTAGAATATGAGGCCGTGTTATCATTCTAATGTAAAGTCATGGTATTTACTGTAGTATTGGGTTGCAAGTTAATATCAGATTCAATGGAAATTAATCATCTAATATCAGATGCGCGATCAGTCCAATAATCTAATTTCAGGTCATCAGTTCGATATCTAGCACTTGTTCTAACGACACGGTATTACTAGACTATCATATTATAAATACACACACATATAAAACAATCAAACTGGTACACGATAGAAGCACGACTGCTCTTTCAATTGAGTATAAATGTTGATAAACTTACCCGGAAGCCAAGACATGCACGTTTAGACGATGCTATTTTCAGTTCAGTGTAAGAGTAAATGCCCGGATATCGAGGCTTTTTCGTGTAAAGTTTTAACCAAGCATCTAAAATCGGGTTATATTGCGTGTAGAATTTATCGATATCAGGGCCGCTACATGCCAGTGGAAATCGGGAAGACAAAATTTGAGATTCACAAACAAAATTGCTTGTGAAAACTATTTACTAAGGTTTTATTTGAAGAAACATTGCCTTATTAAGCAGGTAAAGGGGCATACAGAACACAGAAGCAAATGTTATGTTGAACATTTTCTATATTTCAGTTTGAACATGTCATTACACGTCATGAAGTCCAGTGTTTTATATGGGGATTATATACACTTTACTTGTTTACATGAACGTAAATTATTCATGAAGACTGCAATCTTACAGTTTTTTAAATTTATTTTGTATTGTCTTATTGGGGCTTTCCGACTTTAAAACAAATCTTACTTTAATTGATTTGTGTCTCGGGAACATTTTAGTAAATAATTATAAAAAACAATTCTGAAAGAATATCACATATTTTTGTCTTCCCGACTTCATTCATAAATTACGTCAATTTTGCGTGCAACGAACGAATGGCTATAGGCACCCCTGGGGTCACTTAACCACCCTATGCAGACAGAGCCTGTGGGAAATATTGGGTGCGGAGCAAATGAGCGGAGGGTGCGGAGCTAACGGTTATTTTTGAATTTAAATTTGGGATATTTCTGAAACTAAGCCGTTTTGGGACTTCAAATATACCAAGATATGTGTATTTGACACCAAATATCAATACAATTGTGAAAATAGTAGCGCAATTCATTCTATAGCGACGCAGTGTGCCTTAAACCTTTCCCAGACCTATATATTTTGAAATTATCCTTTTAATACTGAGTCCCCAGCATTCATAAAAAATGGTGTTCAAGGTGCACTATCTATACAAATTATTTTTGCATCTTGGAAGCCAGGCAGTATCTGTGTGATTTTATAAAAATCCGGAAATGTTCTTCAGATATGAGCCCCTCTAAATATTGGGTGCGGAGCAGCTCCATAAACGTAGCTCCGCACCCAATATTTAGAGGGGCTCATATCTGAAGAACATTTCCGAATTTTTATAAAATCACACAGATACTGCCTGGCTTCCAAGATGCAAAAATAATTTGCATGGGTAGTGTATCTTGAACACCATTTTTTATGAATGCTGGGGACGCAGTATTAAAAGGATAGTCTCAAAATATATAGGTCTGGGAAATGTTTAAGGCATACTGCGTCGCTATAAAATGAATTGCACTACTATTTTCACAATTTTATTGATATTTGGTGTCAAATACACATATCTTGGTATATTTGAAGTCCCAAAACGGCTTAGTTTCAGAAATATCCCAATTTTAAATTCAAAAATGACCGTTAGCTCCGCACCCTCCGCTCATTTGCGCCGCACCCAATATTTCCCACAGGCTCTGTCTGCATAGGGTGTTAACATTTTTTGAAAAATGCAATGTCGTTAATTTCCTAGCTTGATATGTAGGATCAAGTATATTTTCAAGAAATAGCAATAAAAAACATTCAAGATTATTGGTATAAGTATATTTTGGTTGATTTGGGAGGTATGGATCACTTCCTGTGAAAATATAAATTTTTTATCAGTCTCAGAAATGTCTCCAGAATGTATAAACCCAACTTGGCAGATGTCCCATTGTTTGATTGTGTCACTCTATACACTCATTGGATTAATATGTTGTAAATATAAATATTCATTTTCAATAGTCATTGAGTAGGGATTAGTCATGTTTGCAATTGTGTTGACCTACTTATTTTTAGAGAGAAGAAGGTCATGATAAATTTAAACTCTTACTTTGTTCATATAACGCTTGGTTCTTACGTAGAAAGTTATATGCAGTATAAGGGAATAGTGTAATTCTAAGGTACTTCTTGAGATATGTAAAAATCTAGGTAAGGACCAGGCGTTGTGCAAAAATGGAACTTTTCTGCAATTTTCAGCATGAAATAAAATGATGTCAGCCATTTTGTAAATCCTTAGAATGATTGTGACAGATGTGTTTTATATATTTGAGTATTCATATGATCTTTTCATGAACTAATATGTATGCTTGCACTTGAGCATGACCTCTTGAGAAGCATATATCTTTACCATGGCTCTAAGCAATATAATAACATGCAATTCCTTTCAATACATTAATATGAGATGATTGTTGTACAATCATTTTATCTTCATGTGACAGGGTCATTTTTGTCAATGAATAATTTTTTAATATTATCACAGTTTACTGGCTGATCATACCAATGTTCATATTAAGAAATCCAGCTTAACTTTATTGTGCAGAAGAAATATACTGTAAGTCACAATCAATAGGCGAGAAAACGACATTTGCTAATAAAATGCCCAAAACAAAGGGAACTGTATGAGTGAACTGCAATCTGCCAGTGCCCCCTGTATGGAGACAGAGGGTTACATCTAAATCGTGGTGGACTCTCTTGAAATCAAGCCAACCAATCTAAATGAAGATGGTAAATATACCATCATTGTTAAAAAACATGTGGCCTAATTTGTGTTAAAGCCCAGTAATCGGTTTGTGTTCTCTAAATCTCATTATACATGGGTGGAGTATAACCCAGATCCAGATGAATGTAATAGTATTGATACAATCACTGGATGGTGTTGTACATGCCCACTTGGGAGTACGATTGTAGGCACAAGGGTTATAAAAGCAAAAAGAAATGCACAAAGTTTGACATTTTAAAATCAAAAGATATGTCCGAAATGTTGTCATCTGAAGAAGATGATGATAGCTCATATAATCTCTTATTATAATGAACAAACACATTAATGTGCTCATCAACACTTACGTAAAGTCCAACCTTTTAGGAAAAGTTATGTTTTATGTGTTTTCAAATGTTGCTCTGTGATTCCTCACTGTGATGTGAAATAATAAATTCAGTATTTTACTGCCACTTTAAAACAAACTGTATATGAGCAATTGATCTCAAGGAAGCAGATCAATATATAATTGATTGATATGCATAATTACTTCATGTGCTATTTACTGTTGTCCCTTGTTCTTTCTCATTGTGATGTAAATTAAAAAAAACTCAATATTCTTTTCTGTCATAGTTTTGCAAACTTTTTGTAGACAATTGATCTCAATGAAGTATAAAGAAGATCACTATTCAATATTTTGTTTGCATTTGTGCCTCGTTATATTTTATATGTTTTTCGAATATTGTCCATTATGCTTTGTCACTATTATGTAAGATAATACCAAGGGGATCGCTTAAAAAGTCTTAAATAACTGAAAATAATGATTATTTTGATAATAAACAGAAACAGTGACAATAATGATGTGAAAAAAGTGATTTTTCCTTGAAAAGATCATTTTATACATGTAATAGAATGACCTATATTTTGAAATATAAAGGCCAGAATGATCTAATTTTTGGATCTGGTTATCAAACAAAGTCTCTTCTTTGATATCCTGTACAATTTTTTCTAAATATCTCGGGGACTAATATAGGGTCTTAAAGACACTCGTCCTTATGGGTAGACGTTGTTATTACCGGATGCCCAAACGTGTCAGGAACAAGTACATAGATACTCGAATGATGTTGATTGGACACCAGGGTGCAGAGAAATCGTAATTTTACTGAATGGCTTCACAAAAAATAAGCAGCATTATAACCCACCTAACAAAAATGTCATTAAGTATTGATATATTTTAACATGATGGCAGGTTGGAGTCTTGATGCCTTCCAACATTGGGGGACATACTTGAAGCTAGCCATACCTGGCATGTTAATGATCTGTATGGTATGGTGGTCCTATGAGGTTGGTACGTTCCTTACAGGTGAGAATACTTCAAATTAAGGCCCTAAGAGATGTTGAGCGTTGAGATTACATGTAGGTCTGTTCCGAAATGGTGCTTATAATTATTTTGTGACTTGTAGAAGGGGTACACATTTACACCTTTGGACATTAAATCATTCATGTTCGGTTCACAATGACCGACTGCGCTTAGATTTTTAATTACTTTTTTCTTTGTCCATTATGATTTATTTTGATAAATATGTAAATTGTAAATTTCATGTAGGTCTATTAGGAACAACAAGTCTTGGTGCCCAGAGTATCCTGATGCAGATAGCCAGCATTGCATACACTGTACAGTATTACGAGTATAATGTCAAATATACAGAATCATGTTGCCTGAAATGTTGGTCTTTGCTTGGCTTACATTATTTTGGACTCTTTAATTGATATTCACGGTATCTAACAAGTACTCACCCTGAGTTATTGCCTTACATTTATATCTCCAAAAGCAGTTTTCATTATAAATAAATATATCCTGTACTGGTTATATTTCAAACTTCCCTTAGTAAGATTGTAGTGTCGAATGGTCGTATGGTTCTAATTTGCGATCTTAATTTCTGAATGGTAGAACGATATGAGTGGTAGAACACACTCGGGTTTTGTTGGTCAGTTCACAGTTTCTGATATTAGGGATTGTTTATTACTATTTTAGTGTTTTTCTTTCTTGCTATGTTTTGTTATGAAGATCATTTGTTTTCCTCTTTCAGCACTTTGCTTATGCCTGGGTCACTGATTTGCTGTGATCCATCGGCCGGCGACCGGACGATTCAGTATTGTTTCAAACTGAATACAATTTTGAACAAGACACTCAATCGGCCGGCCGCCGGCCGATGATCATAGGAGCAAATGTGACCCAGGCATTACATTGCACCGCCTTGTTATGAAAATATAGGCTGCTTCATTAAAAAATATTTTACTCTACATGTAGCAATATTATATGTTTATCAATATTTTAGACGTTTTTGCATTGTTTTTAATCCGAATCTCAAATTGCAACATCTTTTTGGTGTAATAGTCAACATGAGATTTTAATTTCTAGGTTCCAGCAGGTGTAGGGGTATCTTGCAGTATACGGGTGGGACAGTATTTAGGATGTGACCTCCATTCTTATGCTATACAAACCTTTAGAGTATGCATGATTATAATAGGTAAGAGCAATTAAAGATAACAATTTCTAGAGTACACAATAATATAATCTTAAGTGAAATTTATCATTCATGTCATTTTCAAATACTATCGGATTGTGGGTTTGGCATGTGATTTGTTTCTCATTTAATTCATTGATTTTAAATAAACGCACTAGATTTAAAATAACTCATTTTATTCTTTTAGTGTCCATTTTGATTCAATAATCAATATAGATTTTGCACATATTCATAAATCTTTGCATTTGTACATTCACATCCAAACATTAAGGAAGAACAGCACACAAGAAGGCTATAGCATTAAATAAAATTTCTAATACACATATACAGGGTGGTCCAAAAAAAAGTGAACCCCTGCAACTGGCCATATTTCCCTTATTACTTGCATGAATTCTTTTTTATTTTCACATGTTGTAGAGGAAGGTCTAAAATTTATGTTGGGGCCATACATTTTTCTTAGTCTTGAAATTTGCAGAAATTATTAGCCCTAACCAAACATTACTGAAAATGGACAAATTGTGATTTTCAATATCCGTGATTCTTCAACCCTTTAACACCTTTCCCCCTGAGAATTTTTTAAGCTGCAGTCTTAAAGGACTAATATTTTCTGACTTTGTTCAATTTTAAATTCTGCACATTATGGCTTAAAACTAGCATCCTACATTTGTTAGTTGCAAAGTTATTGTGATCCAAAGAGATGTGCTAAGCTTCCACAGACGAAAACATTTTCCAGTGAAATCATGAACATACCCCTATATGATCTTGAAATGTCAATATCTTCATAAATCATGGACCAATTCTAATGATATATGGCTCAAAACATTGGATATTGGATTTTCTTTTGATTTTTTAAAGATATTTGATAAAGTGGTTATCAGATTCCTGGTCACAGGCGGCAACTCCCTTCCATAAGAGGCCCCCTCTAACTGTTGGTGTAGGTAACATACCCCTGAAACTGTTGATTCAGAACAGTTAAAAATGCTTCAAAATGATCAATGAAAGTGTGAAATGTGTTTTCTGCTTGAACAGTGTCCCTTTTGTCATATGGTAGGGTTTTAAATTTGTATCTCTAACTGAAAGCTGTTTAAGATCATCCAATGTGTTTCAACAATTTCCTTGAATCACATTTGTAAAATTTTGTACAATATCTAATTTCCAGGCATGTTTGTTAAACGCTTGTAATTTCTTCAAAATTTAAGACTGAGAATAAATTATGGCATCAACCAAAATTTTAGACCTTTCTCTACAACATGTGATAATATGAGCCAATCCATCCATGTATTAAAAAAAATATAGCCTGTTGCAGGGGTTCACTTTTTTTTGGACCACCCTGTAGATATATATTTTAATTCCAAAACAAGCATGAATATGATGTAACAAGTCCTATGTATCAAGTCCTATGTATCAAATCACATGAATGATTTATGCCGTCTGCTACAGAGGTCAAAGTGTAAGATATATTGACCGAATACATTGATTGGATTAAGCATGTCGAATATTGATACAAATTAAATTCTATAGACTAGATAGTCTGCATGCACACGATCATCTTTTTGTCAATTGAAGCAGTGCATGGCAAGATAGTATATAATAAAGATGCTGCAGACATGTAGCACAAATATTCTCAAGTCCAAGGCACGAGAAGTGAGCCTGAAAATAAAAAGGAAAACAATCACCAATGATTTAATTTTTGAATGTTCCACCTTTTAAGAGTACTCGTATCTACAACTGTTTTTGATCTAATGAGATATTTTCAATGCGTTCGTCAATATGTAAAATGGCTTTTGTATAAATGAACATGAAATGTCCCTTGGTGTTTTGGTACTGGATTGTGATGTTGGTTCTCGATCGAAGGGGTGAGGGAGAAGGGGATATTAGACATTATTTCTTTTCACGATTGATCATGGTTTTGCGATTTATAACATGTATAGGGTTAATTTATCCTATAACACCAACATAACTAAAGAAGCAAGCCCAATGTTCTGTTTAAGAACCCCTATTACTATAGAAAATGAATTCTAGCATTTGTGTCTCTTCCCTTGATCTGCTCAGTTGCTAATTATAACGGAACATAATACATTCGTGTTGGTGAAATTAATTTATTTAATATAAAATAATAATATCATTAGCAAATTGGGTAATCATATCTGAAGGGAGGAGGAGGGGAATGGGTGGCAACAATTAAGTACAATTCAATGTCCAATAATATGAATATATAGTAATAATGTGTACAGTACAGTTCTAATAATAATAGATTAATCATGTGTACAGTACATTTCAAATAATAATATCAAATAATGATAATGAAAACAGTAATACTTCAGTGAGTTGAATATAACTTGAAATAACTGTTGCTCGCTATGCACTGGCTTAGAATGCAACTGACCCTAATCTGCGCTACCTAGGTCTGGGACCGCAGACAACCACATGATTCAGGATCCACCTACTTAATATTCATTATTCATATAAGGCAAACGATACGGTCGTCCCACAAAACACTTTATGATGCATAAAAAATACTTGTGTCTCTTCCCTTGATCTGCTCAGTTGCTAATTATAACGGAACATACATGTAATACATTCGTGTTGGTGAAATTAATTTATTTAATATAAAATAATAATATCATTAGCAAGTTGGGTAGTCATATCTGTCCACAAAGATCGCTAAAAGCGAGCATTTCTGTCCCACGTGAATCTACTTGTTTAGACTCGACCAACTTAATACTTAAGTTCATGGAAAATGAGAATTTCAGCAAAGCACCATTGACTTAACATGGGGATGATCCATTTTCAATAATTAGACTAGGGGTTCTTAAACAGGATATTAAAGCTTAGTAAGACCTATTTGGAATTATTGGCGAGTACTATTAGGGGAGGGTTACACTTTGCACAACAAGAAACACTATATAATAAACTCCAATACGACGAGATAATATATTTGTTATCCAAATTGATTAATAACTAATAAGATCAGATACTGTTAAATAATATTCTGCCCGGGACCAAACGTGGTATCCGAACTGCTTACTTATAGTATCCGTTGCGACCATTAACAATATTGTAAATGTCTAATTAGCTAAGTAAATAAACATGTCGTCACAGTCGCTGTTGGCTATGGAGAGTTATTAATAATTATCGATCATAAATGTTATCATACTTTTCTTGATTTAAATATCCAAATATTTACTATGTTTAAAAATGAAAATGTTTGATTTTTAAGTAACTGTTCGACCTTTTTTCTTATTATCAAGAACGCGCATGCAAGTTCGGCAATCCTTGTACATTGTGTGCACAGTATGCGCATTTTAATCGTTGTATATTTTTCTAAAAGCATGATCATTGTGAACCTTTTACTGCAGGGCCTTACCCGGGGGGGTCACCATTCTTAGCACTTTTCAAGTGATTGCGGGGCCAGATTTGTCAAATGTAAACCCCCTTGGAAAGTTTTGAAAAGTGCCCCCCCCCCATTGACAAATTGTGATTACGGTCCTGCACTTTTTACAAAGCTTTTAAAAACAGGTCGTGTAGAATGTAGACCCCCGTTGCTTGATATTTACAGCAAAAACATTGACATTTGAAAGTTTGTGACGCTGCGCTATTTTGAATAAATCTTATATCTAAGAAGCCTATCGGTTGAAAAAAATACCTAGAAGACTTAACATATTTCCCAATGCTATGCACCTATTAATTTAGCAATTGAATTATAATTATAAACTTTCTCTTGAAACAATAAATCTTCCAGATTTGTTGAATTTTTGGACAAAATCGGCTACCCCTCCCCCGTCCGTTCATTACTTCCGATCATCGCATGATGTTGATTTTTATAATATGTTATGTTATGTATATTTATTTCCATATTATAATTCTTACAATTGAATAACAATATATCTCTCTAAAATTAAATTTGAAATAAACCGAAGAATAATCAGCAAGTCTGATTGAAAATACACATCCTGTAAAAGAGAAAAGAATTTAATCCGTCTGAATCTGATTGCAAAATATAAATCTGTCTCATTAGGAAATTAATCCCTGCTATTTAACTTGCACATAATCTAAAAGCTAATAGTCAAAAACCGGGGTCAAAAAGCTTATCACAATATAGTAGAACATCTTGGCTTCAGATATTATTTTCTCATGAATTTTAAAAATCGGCCGAGAACTGATTAAGTAACATTCCGCACACGCCGTCTGATTGCATATTTGAAACGACAACATCCGATCTACTACAGTATAAATAATCCAATTGACTTTGATAGCATATATTTGTTTTCAGACATATTTTGTATTTGCGCCAGCTTCGACCCCCCCCCCCCCCCCTTCACGTGATGCCTTTCAAATCAATTCATTTCACAAATGACATAGAACTTACTGCAAACGCCTGTTGCGTTTATTCCAAATGCAACAAGGCTAGCAGTTGAATAATAAAACAAGGCAAATCAAAATCATCCAACATACGTATCATGTATAGTTCCCCTTTTATAGGAGGCGTTATTTGGTAATTAGGTCACTATCATTAATGAGGAAAATGTAGAACCAAATAAATGTTCATCTCAGCCTCAGTATTTGAGAGTTCATTTCATTTCACATCTGAGGATACATTTAGTTGTACACCATACACATGCCTTCTGTTCATGCCCCGCTGTTTATGACCCGGTTTTAATGAACGCACTTTTGAATTATTGTAACATGTTATGTTCTAAATGGATGCATCAAGATCTTGTGTTGCAAATCTATAGGTAAATTTCACCAGCCTATGACTTTTAAATACATTCTTTATATGTACATGTGTAGTAACTCCGGAAAATCAAGTATCATCAGTATTTTTTAACAAACTGGGACTTTTGATGTGAAAATCAATCATGATAGCAATATATGAGCAACGGTTTAGATTAAAACTGGGAAAAGCAGGCGGTCGCCGTCCGGGTCGCCGTATGCTTGATGCATGGCTAGTGTAACAATGTGAAGGGTAACAGCCCGCTTCCCCTATAACCCTTTTTCAAATT